GTATAAAAAAATCATAGTTTATGAGTAACGCGTTAATGTATCTCATCCCACTTTAATTAGTATGTTCCTCCAATTTTTCCACATTAATCACATGACAAAATTAACATCAACAAGAAATATAAGGTGTCTAATTTGTCAATATTAAGTTATACCCAATTTATTTCGTTTTAGTGTCTTAATTTAATTAGACATATGTGTTTAGTATAAATGGAAATGTATTCCATGAAAAATAATTTTCTAAAACATATTTTCTGAAGAAAAAAAAAAAGAAGATCTCTCAATTAGTTTTTAGTGTTTAATAAATAACCACAAAAATATTACTGCGAAAGCATTTATATGTTATTTAGCAAGATTCTCTGAGGTCGGGAGTCGGGACTTAGAATGGGATGATGAGTGGGGGTTGGGGGTGGTGGGGGTGAGATGGTCAAGATGTGAGGGTCGGGACTTGGATACGAAGCATAAAATAAACTTGAAATGTGATTTAACTCTTAAAGGACTTGTTTTTCCTATTTCTATTGTGGAAGTCAGTTTCCTCATTTTTAAGAAATTTATTTTCCGAAAAAATTGACCAACTAAATATGAAAAAATTAACAAATATTTTTTGAAAAATATTTTTCTTGATATCAAACACGCCCCATGTCTAAGTCCAATTTCTCAGCCACTTTTAAGGCCAGCCCAATCATATTGAACACAAACCTCATTAATCAATAGGCCCAAAGTTGTTTCATTTCCAGGCCCAACAGAACATTTGCACTTTGGCCCTTTTCTGTGCTGGTTTTTACTTAAAAGTTTCAAAACCGATAAACAATTAACAAATAACTTTTTCGAGAGATTGATAATTATATTTTCGTATCGTAATATCTTAGAAGTTATACTCAAAAATAATTTATGTCTTTGAAAACCTTACGACGTCATTAGACTTAAGTTTGTTTGCCAAAAGGCAAAGTTTAAATATCAGTTCATTTGAAGGACAAAAATTAAAGACCAATTCATTTAAAGATAATAATATAAAACGAGTAATTTTATAAAAATTGAATACTATGAAAAAGATAAAGTATAGTTTAGTTGGAAGAACATACTAAGTTTTATATTGAATTTTTAAAATAACACTTATTTTAAAATAATATTTTTTAATTTATTAACGTGATACTTATTTGGAAACGCCATATTCATACAACAACCAATTCTGAGAAATCCAAACCCTCTCATATATAATTTTTTGGCTTAATAGGTTGAAAATCACTCGAAATCAAATTTAATGTTGACAATTAAATTTATAATTGAATATAATAAGTAAGTATTTTAATACATGAAAAATTATATTTATTAGATATTCTTTATATGAATTCTAGAATTTTTTTTCTGTATTCTCAAAATATACATATATAAAGTTAACGACTTAAAATATATTATAATCTTTAATTAAATAAATTAGCCTCAATAAACTCTAAAACCTCAGGTCTGTGTCAATTGAAAATGTTGTGTATAATTAAAATATATATTATATTTTATGCTATTAATTTATCTATATAAAGAACTTGTGAATACACACAATTTTCCTCAAAATTTAAAATGATAAACTTAGATTAAAGAAAAACTTTGTATGTGTTTAAATGCTACTACTTTTCTAATTTCAGTTTTACAATTCCACTTATACTGGATTAATGCCAAATAAATATACAAATAGTTCTCTAAAATCTAAACTCCATTTTAAAAAATTGAAAATCGAATTTAAAATTTATAATTAAAGACTATCTCACGACATTCTTGTGTGTGTTTTTTCTAACGTGCACTAACGATGAAAATACCATCATTAGTTGGACAAATATATATTTGTCTGGAATTAAATTTGAAATTGAAGTATATCTAATTAATACACCCTGACCATTCAATTACTAGGCTAAGAATTTGAATTCACAATTAATTCAATTTGTCAAAATATTTTCTCAATGATTTGGAACCTGAAAAAATTAATATTGTGCGCATAGATTTTATTTCTATTTTATAAAAAATAAAATAGTAACTATTTCTGTCGCTATCATTATTAATCTCCCTATTTGTTTATAGATCATTTGATAGAGTATGTAAAAATAATATTCAGTAGAATATATTAGTGATGTATATATTAATAACGCTTGTATTAGTTATGTTTGCATTAGTTATACATAGATGATTTTTAATGTATTGTTTAATTTGATGTATTAAAAATGTGAAATCCTCTGATGGATAATGAACTTTAATTTATACGATCAAAGTTTACGACCCCTTTATAGGGAAAACTTAGCGATGTATTCATGGGATGGCAAATGAAAATCATTAAAAAAAAATTATCAAACATTTAGGATATGTTTGGTACGAAGGAAAATATTTTTCATAAAAAATATTTTCAGAAAAGCAAGTAGATATTTGGCTTACTCTCTCATGTTTAGTTGTTGAGTAGAAAATATTTTTCGAAAAAATATTTTAATGTTTGATTGTTGAATGAAAAATGTTTTTGAGAAATACCTTTTATGTTTTACTAAAGTAGAAAATAATTTTTGAATTTGATTTTTTTTTAAAAAAACAAACTTAGATTTTTTTTCGTGGTGGGGGCAGGGGCGGCGCTACCTTGTAAGAAGGGGGTTCATCCGAACCCCCTTGGGTAGAAAATTATATTATTTATACATGGCTAAAACAAACTTATATGTATATATAGTAGATGTTAAACCCGATTCAGCTATCTATTTCTACAGATTTTGAATCCCCTTATTGGAAAATTGTGATTCCGCCTCTGAAAGGGGGGTTTGAGGGTAGGGGTAAAAAAGCGAACACGTCACACGACTTGTTTCTTACAAATCAAAAGGGAAATGTGGTTAAGCAACATAGCTCGCAGATGAGTACGTAAATGAAGTCCTGAATCGGATGGATAAAAATGAATAGGTCGGATTTCTACTGTCTCGAAATCTCCAAAGAACGATTCATATGAATTTAATGGAAAATAATTACATAAGATTAAATTAATAAATGTTTTTAAAAAAAGAGACATATTCAAATTTTGATACATTAAATTGTTTCGTCATAAATAATGATTGGTTAAATAAATTGTCAACTCACGAGTACATCATTTTCGCGTACACTCTCAAATCATATTGTCTAGTCTTAATATCTCTCTTCCGTAAGCATTGAAAAGTAAAATTTATTTGTATTGAGTTGTCATAATCTTAAATCTCGATTTTAATATCTTATTACTTTTTTCAAGATGATATGGAATAAAATAATTGTTTCATATATATAGTTTTACAAAGCATGAAACCATATTAATGGTATTCAAAAGTTTCTTAATGAAACCAAATTTCATTGATTATATCGTTTATTACTTTATTTGCGTATGATTATGCTCATTCTTGTGTTATGAGTATATATCACATGTTGAAAGGGGTACTTTATTATTTGGCAACTCTTGTTCTAAAGATTAGAAAGGGGTACTTTATATTGAAGTGGAAGTATAAGTCTCCACTTAAAAGATACTTGGAATATGAAAAGGGGCTATGTGTGCAAATAAGCTTTCTTCAAACAAATCTTTATTCTTATGATGAAGCCCCTTATTTCATCAAACATATTTATGTAATAGCTCATTTAAGCTATAACTTAATAATGGAGAATAACTAGTTTAGACTTAGACTATATTTTAAGATTAAAGATGATTAATAGTTCATACTCTTGAGAGAGTTAGGTTGGTTATTTAGGGCTATTGTTGAATTCTTATTTTGAAGGTGTAAATATTTCTTTGGCATATATAATACATATACCAATTCTTTAACTTGATCTCATCACATAATGATGCCCTCCTACTTCAGCTATGTATAAGTAGACATCTAAATTTGTCTAAAGTTTAACAAGTAGACATATAAGTCCAACGTGACATAATACATATGTAGGGTGCCACGTAAGACACAAATTGCTATGTAGGATCCCACACAAAACACCTATATTTATTTGTTCAACTTTATGCAAGTTTAAATGTCTAACTACTTGTGTAAACCCAAAATTAAAGATTATAAATGTAAGCTAAGACCAAGTTAAATAGCCTATTCATGTATTATGCCTATTTCTTTATCTATATATATATATATAGTGCATAAACTCAAATTAAACTCGTAAGATAAATCCAAGAATCGAAATTCTCTTGTAATATGTAATGAAATTATGGGAGAACCTATGGGTTAAAAACGAGACACATAAATTCATGGTCTCTTCATAAAACTAGATATTTTATGTATATATCTTCTAAAATTGGTATAATATTATCTTCTAACGTTCATACTATAAGAAGGCTAAATAGTGCATTTGGTTAGATATTGAGTTATATACCTAAGGTACACTTGGGGATTCTCACTTGATGCATTTTTCCTTCTTCTTTTAGTGGAACATCCATTTTCCATAAATTCTAGATTCGACTTTAAAGAAAGTAGATAGCAGTTCTAACTCAATCCCAAAAATCAATTTATAAGGGGAGACTTTCCCAAGATTATATTATAAGCAGATCACCAATCTCTTGTTCATCAGATATAAATAGATCTTGGGCTCCCTAACCTAAAAACTATCTTAAGAAGGAATGATTACCCAGGACAATATAATTAAAGAGATCACCAATCCCATTTTCATCTGATAAAAATAAATCTGAAATATAACTCAACCCTAAAAACTAGCTTAAGAGAAATAATTACCCAAACTCATGTAAGGAAATCACTAACCCCTTTTCCAATCAAAGTAAAACTCTTCACCATATAATTAATTAACTCACTCAAGTTAAACTCATAAGATAAATCCAAGAATCAAGATGACTCATCTCTGGTAATTATATGTAATGAAATTATGGGAGAATCTATGGGTTAAAAACGAGACACATAAATTTACGGTCTCTTCATAAAACTAGATATTTTATGTATATACCTTCTAAAGTTAGTATAATATTATCTTCTGGCGTTTATACTACAAGAAGGCTAAATGATGCATTTAGCAAGATATTGAGTTATTTACTTAGAGCACACTTGGGAATTCTCACATAATGCATTTTTTCTTTCTTTTTTTAGTGGTACATTCATTTTCCAGAAATCTTAGATTCGACTATAAAAAAATTGATAGTAATTCTAAATCAATCCCAAAAATCAATTTATAAGGGGAGACTTTCCCAAAACTATATAAGGAGATCATCGTTCTCGTGTTCATCAAATATAAATAAATCTTGAGCGCCCTAACCTAAAAACTAACTTAAGAAAGAATGATTATATTACCGAAGATAATATAATTAAAGAGATCACCATTTCCATTTTCATCAGACAAAAATAAATCTCAGACATAACTCAACCTCAAAAACTAGCGGAAGAAAAAATAATTACACCCAAATCCATATAATGAGATCACCAACCCCTTTTCCAATCAAAGTAAAACTCTTCACCATATAATTAATTAATTAACTCATTCAAGTTAAACTCATAAGATAAATCCAAGTTTTAGAACCCTCTAGTTTTTCATTTCCAATGTTTCCCAAATAAAACAAGCTATTCACACTAGGAGAGAGAGAGAGATAGTGAAAACTAAAAACAAAAAAAAAAACAAAAAACAAAAGCCGTTGGGAGTGTGTGTGATTATTGTGAGATAGAAGTGAAGAAGAAGTACTTAGCTTGCTTTGCTTTGCTAGCTAGCAAATGAGAAACGTATGGAAATTTTTGGACTCTTTATAGTAGTATTGTTGATAATAAAATTGAAAAAAAAAAGAAGAAGAAGCAATGCAATGCATGCATGGTGCCATGTATATTCACATTTGTAACGTATGCCACGTCCTTCTTATTGTCCTTTCTCTTCACTTCCTCCATAAAAATCAACTCTTTCTTCACCTCTTCATCACATCTTCTTCTTCCTCTAATAAATCAATTTGCTTGTCTATCTTTATGGATTACTCTCCACCACTATCGTCACCAGACTCAACACCACCACCATCACCACCTCACTACATTGAAGAGCCTAAGACTTTGAATGAACAACAACTCAATGAATTTAGGGTATGTTTTGATATACATATGAGAAACGCGAGCGTGTTCTTAGATGTGTTTTGATTTATTGTTGTTTGGTTGTTTTTAGGAGAAGGCTATGCATATCATCAGAACTCATACTCATGAAGAAGCTACAAAGATTTTTTTGAAGGTAACATATATATGAGTGTATATATGTGTTAGTTTCTTTTTCTTTTTGCTTTTTGCTTTCTAACATTTTGTGTGTGTTAATGTATGTGTTTTTTGTTTTTGTATGACAGCAAAACAAAGTCTAAAATTAATGAAAAATAATTTTGATGTTTTTTTTTGGTGATGGCTATAAAAGTGAAGGATGGATTTTAATTTTAAAGTTTGTGTTTTCAACTATTTTAATTTTTTGTTTTAAGAATCTTCATTTTCTTTTAGTATGGATCTTAATTTTAAAGTTTGTGTTTTCAACTATTTTAATTTTTTGTTTTAAGAATCTTCATTTTTTTTAGTGACCTATAGGGGATGGATCTAGATTTTAAAGTTTGTGTTTTCAGTGATTTTAATTTTTATTTTAAAAGTCTTCTCTTTTTAGTGACGATTCTAAATGCGAGAGGCAGATCTAGGTTTTAAAATTTATGAAATTTCAATTTTCTTATTTTAAGATCTTTATTTTAAGTGATGACTACAAAAGTAAAGTAAGAGACATAAATTTCAATTTTTTTTGCAAGAATCTCTATTTTTGAGTGCAAAAGGGGAATTATCCACGATAGTGAGGCCAGATCTAGGTTTTAAATTTTATGTATTTTTAATTTTTTATTTTAAGAGATGGCTACTAAAGTAAGAGAAGGATTTTGATTTTAAAGTTTATGTGCTTTGAAGGATTTCAATTATTCTTTTTAAGAATCTCTATTCAAAGTGTAGAAGGGGAACCAAACCCTCATTTGAGAATGCTTCATTATACACTATTGGATCAAAAGCTAACTTTGTTAATTATTGAGTTCTGATTAATTAATAAATTTCTCAATCTTAATACAAAATCTATATAAAACTTATAGAGTTTTTAGAAATTCATTTCGGTCTATACAAAACGATTTTGACTAAGTGTGAGTGAAATTATTTAAGTTTTTTTAAATAAAAATGATAAGATTCCTAAAGCTATAAATGTTGTAACTATAAGAGTTCAGATAAATCATTTAATTCCACAGATTTCCCATTAATTAATTTTTTTGTTCTATTGGTAAATTTAAAGATCTTAAAATATACATAAATAAAAGATATGGGGGTAGTTTTATTTTCAAAAAATAAATTAAAACTTAATTTCAAGATAGTCAAATTTGTGGTTTAGTATATATTTTGTTTATTTTCTTTTTCATTATTAATTTTTTTTTAATAAAAGACGTTGTGTCTTTTGACCAATAAATTTTAATAATACTTTTGAGTTTAAAGTGGTTCGAAGTGTAATTTTTTTAAAAGAATTTTTGAAAAAATCTACTAGTTTTTTTAGCTTCTGAAAAAGAGAGTTTCTACCAAAAACTTGACCTTACACTTTACTTTTTAAAAAATAAATGCTATTTAAAAAAAAATTAGCCTCTTAAAAACTTGATTACACTATCAAGCAGTTTATTTGTGTAGTTAGTTTAACTTTTAAACTTAATCATATGAAATATTCTTTAATAATCAGGTCGATAAAGCTAATAAGCATGGGTTAGTGGAAACCCTAGGGTTTTTTTATCCGAGTTTCGATGAACGAAAAAAATTCCTACTAAAAAGCACATGGTTTTTTAATAAATTTTTTATACTTTGAATCTAAATTAGACAACATCCTAAAATAAGTATCAAACACAAAATATACTAAATTAGGGCTTATATCACAATGTGGAAATGTTAGTGACATATTATAAATGAAATTAACAGTAATTTTGTCGAGTACATTTTGATCACTATATCACATGTTTGCTCTATATTTATCGTGTACTTACTGTGAATTTCTATCTTGTTGATTATGGAGTAAGAATTAATCTTAATTTCTTATTATCAACTTTTTCGAATGCTTCATCTACATTTATCTATTTATTTGAATTCAAATATATCGTGTACTCGCTGAAAATTTTTGTTACGTTAAAAATTAAGAATAGTTTTATATATGTATTGATTTTGTGAAATGATAGATATTAGTAACCATTTATTTTTAGTACGAACGGCATATAAATGGAAATAAATGAAGTATTTATACACTAGTAATATATAGGGAAAAAGGTTTGAAAAATATTTCAATCTTGGTCGAAATTGTTGTTACGATTCGAAATTTTATGGAGGACCATTTAGCCCCTGAACTACTTAATAGTGTATTTTAAAGGTATATATGTGTCCACGTGGACACATTACTATTTATAATTATGCAATATTTTTTATGCCCATGTAAGCACATATATACCTTTAAAATACATTATTAAACAGTGCAGGGGTAAAACGTCTTTTTCAAAGTTTGGTATGGTAACAATAATTTCGGTGAAAGTTCGTATATATTCAGACCTTTTCCCTAATTTATATTTCTTCTGTCCAACAATAATTGTTTACTATACTATTTTGGGATGTCCAACACTACTTGTCTACTTTATAAATCAATGCATAATTCTACAACTAGTTCCTAGTTATACCTTTGTCATTAATTATAGTCATCTTTATTGCATTTTTCAAGACATTATATTTATTATATTCAAATAATGATATAGTAAAACTATCGTTCTATTATAATTTCTTAGGAAGTATATAAAGTCAATAATAAACACATATTATTGGGAAAATACCCAAGTACCCCCTCAACCTATGCCCGAAATCCCAGAGACACACTTATACTATACTAAGGTCCTATTACCCTCCTGAACTTATTTTATATGTAATTTTCTATCCCTTTTTAGCCTACGTGGCACTAGTTCGAAAAAAAAAGTTAATCATCGTTGGGCCCACAAGATAGTGCCACGTAAGCTAAAAAGGGGTAAAAAATTATTAATAAAATAAGTTAAGGGAGGTAATAGGACCTTAGTATAGTATAAGTGTGTCTCTGAGATTTCGG